CAGTCTCTGCCTCCCAAGTTCAAGTGATCCTCCCATCTCAGCCTCCAAATAGCTGAGACTACAGGCATGTGCCACCACACCCAGCTAATTTATTATTATTTATTTATTTATTTATTTATTTATTTTTTGAAACGGAGTCTCACTCTTTCGCCCAGGCTGGAGTGCAGTGGCGCAGTCTTGGCTCACTGCAACCTCTGCCTCCCAGGTTCAAGTGATTCTCCTGCCTCAACTTCCCCAGTAGCTGGGACTACAGATGTGCGCCACCACACCCAGCTGATTTTTGTATTTTTTAGTAGAGACAGGGTTGCACCATATTGGCCAGGCTGGTCTCGAACTCCTGGCCTTGTGATCTGCCCACCTCAGCCTCCCAGAGTGCTGGATTACAGGCGTAAGTCACCGCACCCAGCCTAATTTTTGTATTTTTTAAAGTAGAGTCAGAGTTTCACCACATCGGCCAGGCTGGTCTTGAACTCCTGACCTCAAGTGATGCGCCCACCTCAGCCTCCTAAAGTGCTGGGATTACAGGCATGAGCCACCGCGCCCGGCCTGTATATTCATTTCTACAACTCACTGAGCACGCACCCCGATTCAGGACTCGGTACTGGGTATCCAGGGATGGGAATGACCAGCTCTGCCCTCAACCAGCTCTGCCCCTGTTCAACAGGGGGAGACCTTCAGGTAAGTGCTCAAATGTCCCTTTCTCAGTCAGGCCTTCCTGACCACCCTGTTGAAAATGACAGCTCCATCCCCAGTGTTCAGCCACAGCCCATCCCAGGCCTAGGCTTGGTTTTGCTGTCTGGCATGTATCACCATCTGATATAAATTAGCTTATTTTCTGTAGCCTTCCATTAAAATATCTGCCCCATGAAAGCAGGGATTTGATGTTTTCCCTCTCCCCTCCTTCATCCACTTCTGCATGCCCAGTGCTTAGGAGAGTGCCTGGCACACAGAAAGGTATCAATCAATAGCTCTTGAATTAATAGAGAAGAACATTCTAGGCAAAAGGAGTAGCGTGCACAGAGGAGGCTCACACGGGGCTTGGGCAGCTGCAGCACAGGGTGTGCAGAGGGCAAGGGCAGGAAGGAGAGCTGGAGTGAGGCCACCAAGGGTCATCTGTGCTGCTCCCAAAATCTGGGTTGTTATCCTATAATAATGGGGAACTAATAAAATCCACCAGAGACCACACGGAGTGCTGTGGAAGCCTTTTTCCCTCCCAAGGCTTACAAGTACCTGTCAGAATGTGGAAAACAACGTAGGGGAGGACCGACTTCAAGTCATGGTCAGAAACAGACGTCACGTAAGCACGCTGTTGCTCTTACGCTGTGTGGGGTTAGGACAGAGGATGTCCCAGAGGGACTGCCAGGTGTATCTGCATCTCTGACATGTGGCAGTGAGAAAAGGGAGCCTCAGGCCTGGGGGCACCAGAAACTGAGAGCCTAAGCCTCTGCCTGGCCTGCTCCACAGAATGCCCTGCTCTGGCCACAGCGGGGCTGCCCCCACCATGATTTCACTGGGAATAGGAGACAGTAGACTCTGAGACCTGAAGCCTGTTTTGCTGGGAACAGGAGACAACAGACTCTGAGACCTGAAGCCTGGAATGAATGCTCAGCCCCCACAGCCTTGTTGTTCAACCCCGCTCGCCTTCTGTGAAGACATGGCCAATCTGCACAGCCAGCTCTGTAGGAAAAGGTCACAGAATAAAGTAGAAGTCAAATTCAATAATACTGGCTGGGCGCGGTGGCTCACGCCCATTATCCTAGCACTTGGGGAGGCCAAGGCAGGTGGATCACCTGAGGTCAGCAGTTGGAGACCAGCCTGGCCAACATGATGAATCCCTGTCTCTACTAAAAATACAAAAATGAGCCGGGCATGGTGGCGGGCAGTTGTAATCCTAGCTACTCAGGAGGCTGAGGAAGGAGAATCGCTTGAACCTGGGAGGTAGGGGTTGCATTGAGCCGAGATTGCGCCACTGCACCTAGCCTGTGGGACGAGAGTGAGACTCCATCTCAAAAAACAAAAACAAAAAAAACTGGATATTTGGGATCAAATATCATAACGAGATTGTCTTCTGAGGTTCTTGGATAAACAAGCTCTGACAATCATTCCCAAACAAGAGTTCAAAAATGTTTTCTTTTTTTTTTTTTTTTTT